TCATTAAAGAAAACTTTTAAAAATACCCTCTGGTGGAAAGAAAGTGATCTCAAAGGAAATAACAAAAATGCAAGAAAAAATAAAAGCAAGACAAACCAAAGACACATGAGATAATTCTAAACAAACACTGACAACAGAAATTGATAGTAGTTATTACGTCTAAAAGAATTTAAAAGACAAGACAAAATTAAAATAGTTCAGACAAGGTATCCAAATAAAAACTCTAAGGTCTTTATTCAATAGGAAAATACAGACATTTTGGTCTAGACTCAAATTCAAGTATATGTGTTAAAAATTCTAACAACTGCTAGTACAAGAATGAATAATTTCCAAAACAGTAAAGAAAAATTACACAAAAATCCGAACAAAGTCAAGAGAGAAAAGAAATACTGAAAAATATAACAAATAAAAAGCACAGAATAAGGCAGTAAAAATAAGTCCCAACATATAAACCAATAAATGTAATGGATATGCACTACTTAAAATGCTATGTAGGGGTGCCTGGGTGGCTCAGTGGGTTAAGCCTCTGCCTTCAGCTCAGGTCCTGATCTCAGGGTCCTGGGATCGAGCCCCGCATCGGGCTCTCTGCTCGGCGGGGAGCCTGCTTCCTCCTCTCTCTCTGCCTGCCTCTCTACTTGTGATCTCTATCAAATAAATAAATAAAATCTTGACAAAAAAAAAAAAAGAAAGAAAGCCGCCAACTACACTAGTGGCAAATTAAAACATATTCTAAGGGAAATGCATCAAAAGATAAAGTCAGTACATAACAGAAAGTTCAACTCCACTAGGAAGACAGAACAATCTGAACCTTAGCTATATGCTGAAGCTAAAGCAAAAATTGATAGGACAAGGTTAACCGATACATCTACATAGAGGGAAAATGTCATACACCTTTCTCAGTAATTAAAGAATCGATCTGATGACTGAAATCAGCAAAATATACAAGCTTTAACAATATAATTAATCAGCTTGCACTAATGGACAGAGAACACTGCACATAACGAGAGCAGAATACTCAACTCATTCTTTCAACCCAGTGGGTAACAATTATGTAAGCTCACTACAGAAAGGATGCCTTAACAAATTTCCAAGGGTTGGTATATGACCATATATTTACATATATTACTATATATTACACTATGTATTACTATAAGGTTATATATATGTATAAATAATAAAACATACAATATACACTATACGTATAATACAGCAATATATAATTTTACTATGTATTATTATTCATTATATATGCAATACATAGTATTACTATATATTATATATATATTACTATATATTGCCCCATATACTATATTACTATAAATCAGACCATACAGTAACATGTAATATAGAATATATACAGTAACAAATATAACATGTAATTTTATATTTTTATAATATATGTATTTTTTTTTACCACAGAACTACTATCAAAGTGGAAATCAACACTAAAATAACAAGAAAATTACTACATCAGAATTTGAAACAACTTCTAATTATGAACTCAAAGAAAATGAACAGAACTGAAAAATAGGAAAATGTTACATACCAAAATTTGGGAGAAAGAGCTCAAGCAATATTGAGAGGGAAATTTTTTTGCCTTAGATGATTATACGGAGGAAAACAAGACTAAAAATTTGTGTAAAAAATATCCATATCAAGAAATTAAGAAAAAAACAAAAAACAAAAGTTTCCAGAATTAGTATATAAAATAATGAAACAGAAAACCATGATGTAAGACGAAAACCACAAGCCAGAAATCAATTCACTGACAAAGACTGAGGAAACAGACAAATCAATTTTTTCAAATCAAGGGAAAAAAAAAAAAAACCAAGGAGGCTAAGACTACTACAGAGGACACCTAGGTCATGCCACTTCTCTGCTCAAATCCTGGTGGGTTCACAGCTTACTCAAAATAAACGCAAAGTCCTTACACTGGCCTACAAGGCCCTATGAGCTGGCTCCTTGATACTCTCAGACCTTATCTCTCACTATCCTCTTGTTCAGTTCAAGGCAAACACACTGGGTACCACTTCAGTCTTTCTTAGTATCTGCAGATGCTGACATGCGGTTTCCCCAAGTATCTCCATACTCAACGCCTTATCTCCTTCAAGTCTTTGCCCAGGTACTTTCTTCTGAGTGGGAACTTTCTTGATCACCGTATTTAATGCTGTAAACTTCACTCTGGCACTCCCTCCCTAACCTCCTTTTCTGCTCAGTCTTCTACCTAACACTAATCACCATCCAATGTCATATGTATTTTACCTATGTATTTATCTGCCCCTCCCTCATTTTCAAATTCTTGAAAATGACCGCATATATGTATGCTAGACATTATTCCATCCACTGCTCCATTCAGAGTGTATGACCAGTTAACACATCGTTCAATAGCAGTAACAATTTCAACTAAGGAGGAGCCATTTATTGTTTGTCTTCCCAACAAGTGACCACAATGTAGCTAAGAGTTTGGGGAAAGGGAGACCTCCCCTGTAGTTCTGGCACCAGAACTCTGGTTTTGCTCACCAGTTAGATTATTACAGCTAGTAGTTATTATGTACCAAAAAGTCTACCTCTTTAGATAACCAAGAAAACAACTCGGCCTTGGTGATTCAGAGCAAAAAATCACAAGTGCTTAACACCTGCAGCCACCCATAAAGGACTTTGAAACGTACATATTAATACTCCCTCTGTATTTTATATATATTAATATTCCCTCTGTATTTTATAAATATACCGGCAGTTTGTTTCAGTTGCAGTATCTAAGAAACCACTTTGAGCTATGGACGGCACCAAGGCTAACACAGGAATATTTTTGGCAATTTTATAAAAATGACATATAACTCCTATCATATAATCCATTTTATATATATAAATCCATGCTTTTTTATTGTGGTAAAGCGTACATAACATAAAATTTACCATTTTAACCATTTTCAGGTGTACAGCTGAAGGAGTATGTGTATCAACAACAGTTTTTAACATATGTACACCGTTCTGCCACCAACACCACCACCTAATTCCGAAATGTCATCACCAACCCAAAAAGGAGCCCAAAACTGTTCAGCGGTCGCTCCCCACTCTCTCTTCCCCTCATTCCCAAGCAATCTATTTCGTCTCTATGGATTTGCCTATTCTGGACCTCCCGAAGTCGTGGAATCACACAGTGGGCAGTATTGGTGTCTGGCTTCCTGCACGAAGCATGCTCTCCGGGTTCCCCCATGTTGTCAGATCTATCAACGCTTCGTTCCTTTCTACAGCTGAGTAAGATGTTCTTTAATGAATACATCACGTTTTGTTCAGCCATTTATCAGATGGTACACTTTTGAAGGGTTTGTAAGTTTTCACTATTAAAATTAGGAAAAAGCTAATTTTGTCCAAATCAGTAAACATTCTCTAGAATAGTAACTGGATCGAAGATTATTTAAAATCTATTATTACTGCCAAATAAGATGTACTGCTTACGTTCCCACGTGCATGACAGGATTCACTTCTCTACACCTTCATATTACTAAATTTTACTTAAAAATTTTTCTAAACTCAAAGGAAAAAATTCTCATTTTGATTTCCTTCAAAACTCATGAGTTTTAACTAATGAGCTGTATCCTTTTTATCCTTATTGGCCATTTATTTTACTTAGTGTTAAATTTCTTTGCTTATATTCTGTAAGTTGTTTGTAATTTTTACTGACTTGCATGAGACACTGGTATTTTGGTAATTTTAAGACATGTACATGTTATTTGTGCTGAAAATGTTTTCTCCCATCATTCATTTTTAACTGTGGTACCATTATTTTCAACTGGATTTGTATAGAATCTAAATTTCCGATCTTCCTTTTTATGGTTTTTGGGTTTCCTATTCTGCTTGAAATAGCCTTTTCCTTTCCTAAGATTTAAAAAATAATATACATTTTTTCTATTTTTTTCAACGTTACATAGTTTTTCACTCAGCCTTTAGCACCTCTAGATCTATGAGTCAGATGTTTGATAAAGCTCTAAATTTGTTTAGAAAAATTAATAGCCAATTAGTTCACCTCAATTCCAGTTATTTATAGCCTACACTTAAACTGGCATCTTTATAATAAATTCTCATATACATTTAGATCTCCCTGCTTTTTTCAATCTGCTTCTCTAATTTTCTGTACTAATACCTTATTATCAACAGCTTTACAATACACTTTAACATCTGGTACACAGACATCTTATTCATTATTCTGCTTTTTCAAAATCTTCTTGGGTTTTCCAGAACATTTTTTCTCCCAAATGTACTTTAGAATCAACTTGTACACTTACCTGTTGATACTCTGGTTGGAACTGTATCCAATTTATATGTTAATTTGAAGGGACTGAAAATGTTCAAAGTGAATATTTATGTTTCTAGGAACACAGTATGCTTCTCCATTAATTCAGGTCTTAGTTTTGTATCTTTCAGTAAAACACTATCGTTACATTTTAATAAATTGAGTATAATCTTGTTTTCTCTTATTTCTATGTGTGCCTATATTTTTTTTGCCTATTTCTCTTTACACAAATAAAGCATTCTCCCACTTTTTGAGTAAAAAGATCATTTCCCCATATGCTATAAAAATGATGAAGCTATCAGATGAAGCTATCAGCTACTTAAGCTCAAAAAGTTCATGACTTTCTATAAACACTCCAAAAAACGACACTCACTAAAAATCAACTAAACAATGAGCTTATCTGTGTTTTAAAGACTGAGAGTACATAAACTAAGGATGGTTAACTGGTTTCACCTTGAATACTAACTCTGACACATCAGAAATGGCTGTCAAAAGAAGTAATTTCTTTAGGAAATCTACTGAAAGAAAAATCTTACAATTTGGATTTTAAAAGATGCATAAAAAAATAACTTATCTGGATAAAACATCCTTTAAATATTATTTCTAATAGTTATGCCATAATGCTGTATTTTCTAAAGTCATCACAAAAGCATGAACATAAAGAAACTGTACAGGAAAAAGGGGTTTCAGCAGTTTTGACACTTACAATTCAATTTCAACCATTCCTTTGGAACATCCTCTCTTCACAAAAAAACCAACCTAGAGCAAAAAAGACAAAAGTGCACTCAGTGATGACAGTCCCATGTTATACCACAGATTCAGCAAAGTCATTATTGTCACATTCAAATCCTTTCAGTAACTATTTTCTCTGTCCACTCTCATTTTCCCAGATTTGGGAAATTGTTTCCATTGTTTCCTCCCACAAGTAACAATACTATTAGTTACCATTTAGGAGCATTCCAGGTGCCAGACAGCCTCTTACAAAGGTTATGACAAAGCCAAAAGGTGATACAAACCCGCATAATATGGCCCCAGAGTCTGTGTACTTAGCCTCTATCCTAAACATCTTGGTAGAGGCAAAAAAGCCAACGGGAAAATAGGTTCTCCACTTTAATCACAGGATTTACCAAATCTCCTTATTACCCCTGGAGACTTCTCCGGAGTTGCAGATTAAATATTAACAACTATTCTAATATTACCCATTGTTATTAATGAGGATGTAATTATCATTTTCTTAAAAAGAGGAATACACATAGTAAATACAATTTACATGGTAAAATAGACCTATTTAGTCTAGTTTGAATACATGTATGGGCACAAATTTGAAGAGAGACCTTGGGCCTAAAAAATACCAGACTGGATCTTCAATCAGGCTCTAAGTAAGTAATTCTAAAAAAAAAAAAAGTGGAAACACACCTTGCAAAGAATTATCCTTTTGATAGTGCTAATAGCAGTTAGGACAGCAATTAGAATCACAACAGTGAACATTTATTAAGCATTACCATATGCTACTGTGCTAAGCAATTTATAATTCTTTTTTAATACTCAGGAGCAACTGTAGGAGATATGTATTATATCCATTTTACAAACGATGAAACAGAGGCCCAGAAAGATGACAAAGGAGGTCTGTCCTTGTAACTAGAAAGTCTAGCTTAATGATTAAGAGGACACACTTTAACACACCATCCAGGTTCCTATCTCAGTCATGCAATAAGCGTGTAAGTTGCTGGACTCTGACCAAGTTACTAAACCTCTCTGTTTTCGTTTCGTCATAAACAGGAAAAACAACGGCATTTTTGTAGGAGTGCTATCTGCTCATTAGCTTGCATCAATTAAAATATTTGGTACCAGTAAGAAAAAAAAAAATCACAAAGCAGTTCTTATTATAAAGTGTATATGGATGGTACAGAGCATGCTAGTATTAAATTTCCCTATGAAGATTTAACTATAAATACAACATTAAAACTATTTTCGCTGAGAACCTGTGCAGTCCCTAAATGCATGTAGTGAAACCCAAAGGTCTGCAATCTGTCACCTAAGAAACCCTGCGCTTCACAACCTTCTTTAAAAAGCATACCACTCAAGGATAAGGTCTGTCTTATTCATGCCAAAAATAAATGGGAAGATCGGTGGAAACTGTTACAAACCAATCCATTCAGTCGTACAAAGTTTGGAGTATAATCCAGCAGACTATTATACAGAGATAAGGATTTAAGAAATGATTTTTAACAATTAAAAAACTACACATCTGTATTTATAAAAATCTGGTCTCTGGAAGTTATCTACTCCAACCGTCTTAACCTTAAAATAAAGAAAAACTGAAGTCTAGACAAATGGCTAAAGTCAAAAGTTAATTATTAATAGAGTAGTACCTATGAGTACTCTTAACTCATAAATGCCTCCCATAGAGCATTTAAAGAAAAACACACACATACACACATATTTTGAATAGATTTATTTATAACCTTAAGGGTATATGCTTCAATTTTGTAATCCTACATTAAACTGTAAGCCTGGCTAAGAAACCTATAATACCATTTGAATAATATTACAATATTCCCAGCAGTTTTAGAAAAATACAAAGAATCATTTTAACTTTTACAACTATTTTGCAGTGGGATAACTCAACTCTCAAACTTCCTTTTTAAAACAGAATTTTATGTGAAATATACACCAAATATGACATATAAACTTCATATACTGCTTGAAGCAACAGTAAAACCACTAAGCATCTACCACAAATTTAAGGAACTGAAAATTAACTGTGTATCTGACATTCCCTGTAGAACTCAATACTATTGTATCCTCTCTCAACAAATGTAATCCTGACTTGATCATCCTTTTGCTTCTCTCTAGTTTTGCTATATACATATAGCTCTTTAAATATTAAAATACTAAATACTTTATTTTGTTTTGACCCTTATATAAATTCATATTACAAGTATTCTTCCAAAATTTTTTCCTTAAAATTATGTTTTTGAGATTTAACCAATGAGCTAAGGATTATTTTCACTGGTATGTAATATTCAATTTTGACTATAATAGGATTTATTTAAAAATAATACTGCTATAAATAGTTTAATACTTTTACCTAGTATTAATGTACAAGGGCTATCTAGGAGTAGAATTTTTGAGTGATTGGGTATATGCATCTGCAGATTCACTAGGTAATGCCATTTTCCAAGACTATAAATTTCTATTCCCACCAAGAGTGCATCAGAGTTCCCACTGCTCCATTTCCTTATAAGCACATTGCATCACCAGAATTTTTGAGGAATATACTTTGCCAGCATTAGTGTGCATTTTTCTGAGTGAAGTTGCTTATCTTTGAAAATACAGTTGGCCCTTGAAGAACACTAGGGTTAGGACTGCCAACCCCCTGCACAAAAATTTGCATACAACTTTGGACTTCCCCAAAACTTCACTACTAACAGCCCAGTGTTGACCAGAATCCTTAGCAATAACGTAAGTAGTTAAGACATATCTGTATGTTACGTGTACTATATACTGTATTCCTACAAGTACAAAAACAAGTTCCTGAGAAAATCATACGGAAAACACATTTACAGTATCACTCTGTATTTACTAAAAAAAAAAAAAAAAAAAAAAAAATCCACATATAGGTGGATTTGCACAGTTCAAACCGAAGTTGTTCAAAGATCCACTGTACTTCTTGGCTGTCTGGAGCTGCCTCTTCTATGAAGTGTCTGAGCACATATTTTGTCCTTTCTTAATTGTTACTGTTCTGCTTATTAAAAAGTTTAAATACCTATCTTTTGTTATATGGGTTATATATACCCACTCCCAATTTGTGGCTTGTCTTTTTCTTCATGGTGTCTTTTGATAGAAGTTTCTTATTTTTAATCAGTATTTTCCTTTTCAACCTATACTTTTACTTAAGAACTTTTATTTAACCCAAAGTCACAAAGATATTCTCCTCTACACTAGTATGTCCTAAAACCTTTCTGGTCAATCACATTTAGATCTTCAATCCACTTGGAACTGATGTGTGTTCATGTGTGAAGATAGAATTTAATTTCTTTTTTTCCTATGCAACCAACTGCCTCAGTGCTAATTTATCCATCTTTTCCCCATTCATCTACAATGTCAGCCTTCATAAATCAAGAGTCTACTCATCACGGCTTTGGATCTGCGCTTTTTATGGTCATAGCACACTGGTCTGATGTATTTCCCACCGATACCACAGGTTTGTTTTGTTTCCTTAATATAGTTGACAAACAATGTTATTAGTTTCAGGTGCAACAATGGTAACTCTGCACATTACATAACGCTCAGCAGGATAAGTGTAGTTGTCACCTGTAACCATGCAAAGTTATTACAATACTAGCCACGGTATTCCCTATGCTGTGCTTTTCATCCCCATGACTTGTTTCATAACTGAAGTCTGTGCCTTTTAATCCCCTTCACCCATCTTACCCAACCCACCTCATCTTCCCCTCTAGCAACCACCAGTTTGTTCTGTATTTGTTGTTCTGCATTGAGTCTGTATTTGAGATTCCACATATTAGTGAAATATGGTATTTGTCTTTCTCAGACTTATTTCACTTAGTCTAACATGCTCTAGGTCCATTCATGTTGTTGCAAATGTGAGGATTTCATTCTTTTTTATGGCTAAATAATATTCTTTTTTAAAATATATTTTTTGAAGATTTTATTATTTTATTTGACACAGAGAGAGATCACAAGTAGGCAGAGAGGCAGGCAGAGGAGGCGGGGGAAGCAGGCTCCCTGCTGAGCAGAGAGCCCAAGGCGGGGCTCGATCCCCAGGACCCTGAGATCATGACCTGAGCTGAACACAGAGGCTTAACCCACTGAGCCACCAAGGCGCCCCTCTAAATAATATTCTATACAATGTTTTCATTAACTATTATAACTTTGTGTTAAGTCTTGGTATCTGATAGGGCAAGTTTTTTCCATTTTGTTGAAATTTCTTTAGGAGTATCTTAGGTATTCTTGGCCATTTCTTTTTTCACTTAAATTTTAGAAGCAACTTGGAATTTGCTATAGACAGTACTGGGATTTTGACTGGAATGATGCTCAATATGTTTATCAATGTGAAGAATGACATTTTTACAGTAGGTCTTCATGCTCATTAATATGTATACAGTATATCTGTCCATCTAATCCAACTCCAATATTTTCAAATAAAATTTTAAACTTTCTAAATATAGGCCTTACATGTCTTTTGTTAATTTATTGCTATGTTACTTGCACTTTTGATGCTACTATAAATATCTATTTTTAATTGCATTTTTCTGTTCATCGTTAGTGTATGGGAATGCAACAGATTTTTGTTACAGAATCTTGTAACTAGCAAGCCTAACAAACTTCCAGATTAATTCATCAGAAAGCTGATGTGGAGCATTTTGTGGTTTTCATTGCAGACTTGCATAAAACCTGTATATGACAGTTTTCCTTCCAACTTTCTTTTGTTTTACCTTACTGTTCCACCTAGAACTTCCAGTACAATGTTGAGTAGCAGTGTGAGTAGGTACCCTTGACTTGGTTCCTGAACTTGCTGCATATTTTCACTTGTCTTTTATGTAATTTTAAAAGGTTGGTATTTTCTACTCCTAATTTGCTAAGAGTTTTTTTTTTTTTAATCAAATTACTGTGGAATTTAATGCTTTTCCCTCTACTGAGAGGATCATCCAGTTCTCCTTTAAAATGGGATATGTAAAAAAATAAATAAAACAGGAGAGGTTAACTCTTTTCTCATGTTCAATCTCTCATTCCTTGAATAAATTCTATTTGGTCATGGTGTATTATATATTTTATGTATTAGATTCAACAGACTACGGTTTCTTTTTTCTTGAGATTTTTGCTCCTATATTCATAAGTAAAACTATTTTTTCTTATTCTATCCTTGATGGATTCTGGTACCATCATATTCTGGTACAGTCATATTCTTTGTGTAAAACAGGAAATGACTCCTTTAAGAACTAATGGATAATTGTCTTCGATGTTCTAAGAAAAAAATTAACAGCTGATTTTTTCCTATTAAGAGTCCATTTTGATCATTTATATAGTTGTAGAAACCTACACATTCACAACTTTGAGAATTTAAGCTTTACTACCATAAAGTTGCTCATAATTTTTTTTTGTTTAGGGAGGAGATAAGCCAATTTTATTGTCCCTTATGTCACGCAAAAATCTAGGACCAAAAGATTTGAGTTGTACAAAAGAAATAAATGAATAGTAAATTAGAGGGCAATGGAAATAACTTAAATTTGAAAATTTTCCATGATATTAGGAGGAAAACCATTTCAAAATATGTGTGTGCCTGGCTCAGTAGGCTGTTCCCTGGCCAAAGCTTGCCATAGAATTAAGGTGTTCAAGGTCTTGCTGCTCTACTGGCTTTTGACAAAATGTTTGTGATCGTAGAGAAAAGGAATGTATTCCTAGTGTTCCAGGTCTGTGCGGAACTCTACCAACTCATCTGCAGAAGTGTTTCCCACCCACCCATCTGCCGCGAAGTCCATCAGGCGCTCATATAAGGCCCAGTCCAGGGGATCAGTGTTGACTGTGTAATTCAGAGCCTTCTGCTCAGACTCAACAGACTGAAAGCTCACTTCCCTGATGGAGACCGTGACCTCCTCTTGCCTAGCCTCATCTTCTGGACAGCGACAGTCCAGCACCGGGGGCTTCTTGCCACAAGTCTTCACAACTTCAAGCACAAAACTGGGAGTGGATGTCAGTCAGGCTGTTCTTCAACCTTCTGCCCTTGGAGGGCTCCTCCTCCCCATCCAATGTTGGCAGGATACTACTGTCAATGTTGAAAGCCACAGTGATCTTTTCTCCGGCAACTTTCTGCACTAACTTGGCTTCTGACCCATATACTTCCAGCTCCCAACTTCCAGAACTCTTGGGGAGGTAATTACGCTTTGGGATCTCCATTTCCTCCTCAGTGTCATCATTCAGCAATTCAACAAAAGCTTTGTGCCCCTGGGTGTGCAGTGTGCTGCAGCCGCAGGGCCCAGGAGAGCGCAGGAGACTGTGGGCAGCATGGGCCCTTGCCACTTGGAGCCCCACAAAGGGCCGCATGTATGGCCTGGGGTGCGTGGGCTGCAGCGGTGAAGGCAGCAGGGTGTGCTGAGACAAGAGGGCAGGCATGGCATGTGGTGGCTCAGTGGCCGCAGAGCCCAGCGAGCAAGGCACTGGGCATGACAGCAGCAGTAGTGCAGTAGCTGACACAGGAGGGCCCTATAATACTCTCTCATCGTCATTTAAATCTCTGCTCCACTCTGGTAATGGCCTGGCGGTAGGCATCCTGGCAGTTCACGAACACTCCAGTTCTCCTGCAAGCCCGCGGCAGAACTGCATTTGCTCCTTCCCTCTGATGGAAGGTGTGGCCTCTTAATGGCCTTTGTCCAATGAAAATGTGAGCCGAACAAATACTTATGGCTTTTTGGAAGAACTTTTAACAGCCAGTTCCCTTTACCTAGGTGGCAATCACAGGACAATGTACTCAAGTGAAGACTCCATCAGCCTAGGTACCCAATGACCACAGCCTAGACTGGGTAAGTAGCAAGAAGAACTAATCTGTATTTTTAAACCAGAATTTCAGGGTTGTCTTCGACCTGTAACATATCTTTATTATTTTTTTAACATTCCTTTTTTCTACTTTATCTACCCCTCACAACCTTCTCTAGAAATCACTGATTTTTGGCAGAGGGGAGGGAAGGGGGGAATGGAAAAAACAAATGAAGGAGATGAAGAGATTAACAATCTTTGTTATATAAAAATAAGACACAGGGATGTAACAGACAGCTTAAGGAATACAGTCAATATTGTAACAACATTGTACAGTGATAGATGGCAACTAGACTTACTGTGGTGACCATTTCATAATGTATATAAAACACTATATTATACACCTGAAACTAATAATATATGTCAATTATTCAACAGAAAATAGTAATTCTCTGAAGGATTTTTTTTTTTACTCCACTATATTCAGAGCTAACAATCAGATAAGTAAGTAACCGTATGTCCCATTCTGTGGGGTTATTTTTCCTTCTAAACACAGTGCTTGCCTTCTAGTTTTATCTCCCAGTCTTCCCCTACCTTCGGGACCCCCAATTCAGGGCAACCAAATGCTTTTCCAGTGCAAAGTCAGAAAATGCCCTTGGGGGAACAACTCTGACGTCTTTGGATCTGCACAATTCTGCCTCTGCCCTTGGTAAGTTTGCTTCATCTTTCCACAAGCCCAGCAATACATTTAAGACATTTTACACTATTCCTAAGTATTTTAAGTGTTACATACTTGGAGAATTCTCTAGGTATATAGTCCAAAATACTTCTAGAAATGGCAATTCCTGCCAGCAGTTCTACCTACCAACTCCATTCTTTACTTTCAAGCTCTATGTGTTTTACCCAAGGAACTGAGAGAGAAAGTGATCTGTTACTAAAAGCAAATCGCAACTCTGAATTTTTTTAAGTACTTAAGTTAACTCACCTTATCTGCCCGTCCCATGAAAGCAGGTTTGCCTGCTAATCCAAGACAAATGGCACATACGATGCTAGACTTTCCTGTTCCGTTAGCTCCAATAATCATATTCAGATGGGGTCCAGGAGCGACTTCACAGATATCATACGTTCTGAATTACAGAGAGGAAAATTACTAAGACATAATAACTTCTTTACAAAAACATTTATTTCTCCTGACGTTTTCTACAGGCTTCCTTGAATTGCTTTAAAAGCCAGCTGACCTTACATTTTAATGTTATTTATACATTATTAATAAACTAGAGAGAAAAAAAATCAGTGGAGAAAATGAGAAAATGATAATGCGTATCTGAAATAAGAGTATCAGTGGGAAAATAAGATTTCATAGGCTCTTTTCAATTACGTCTGTTGAATGAAGCAAAGTTTGGTATTATTTATCCCTTTCATGAGAAAATTTATCAAAGCCACTGTAGAAATAATTTTTCAGAAAATTTTATGTAAGAGAAACCATGGCTCATCTTAAATCTGAGAATTTTACATTTGTATTTCTCTGGAATTAAAATGCTTAATAGCAACCCCTCACATTTTACTAAGTGAAACAATCCAAATTTCTATTCTAATCAAACATCTATCAACTCAATGGTTTCATTTTATTGTTATTTTTTTAAAAATCCATTTCTTTCAATATGCTGCCAGAGATATCCATTGTTTGGTCCATGTTCAAATAAATGTTACTGCTATGGAAAGAAACAAGAATGCATCATCACCAAGCACTTCTGTAACATTCCCTCAAACCAGAAAGCTGCCCGCTATCCAGCAGTTTTAATTAACTACCTGCAAGGTAGCACCTAATCCTTATTAGTCACCAAGGACAACTATGGCAAAATGTCAAACAAACAGACTCAGATAATCTTCTACTTTGTCTCTGAATACCCTGAATTAGAATCCATAAATAATAACCTGATAAAAACTGACCCAGCTACTAATCTGCTAGGTATGTCAGTAACGGAGTCAAGCACACTTCCACTTCAGTGCTCAGAGAAAAATAATGTGAAGTGCCATGTGGTAATAAAAGTAGATACAGGGAGTCAACAAGTTATTTTCTGACAGGTTTCCAGCCCCACATCTCAACACAGCGTCTACCTACTTTCTTCTCAAATGCTTTGTTCTGTTGGAAGCCGGACCATAAAGAAACCCTTAATATAATGATTAAAATGAAACTAGTTTGGGAACTTCCGGCATTTGGAAAATGAACAGCCTTGGAACTTCTTAATCCCAAAATATGAACCCTGATTCTTTCAACTTTTTAATTTTCTGCTGTAAAATCTTTGTGCCCCTGTTTTACAAAAACAGTGATGTAACTGATGTTTAAGATAACAATAAGAACGAGGAAAAAGGAGAGGAACTCCTGGCCTATAACATACACATAGATATTAACAGAAAGTTGCAAAAAAACAACAAACAAAAAAAACCAACCAAACAAAAACCAAAACTAAAACCACCCCATATATCAAAACAAAACAAAGCCTCCGCATTTAAAAAAAAATTAGTTTGTCTGACTGATTTTTATTGGGAATTCCCTTTTTGTGAGTTTCCTTTTCTCTGAGCACCTCCTGAAAAGAACTGTTGTCAAATGCCTGCCCTCTTCTCCATCTATGTACTTTGCCTGGTATCTCATATATTCTCCAGGACTTCTGGTAGGACTGACCTACTCAAAGTCAGCCCACATGACCTACAGATGAAATCACCACTTCCAGAACACTACGTGGATGTTGGGGAACAGTCACCTCAAACTTTCCATTCAAAACTAAACCCGCTATCTTTCTACTCCCAAACCATTCCTGTGGTCTCTTATCTTCATCCCATTGACCAAATCAGAAACCTAGGCATTAGTTTTGCATCATCTTTGATCCTAGCAACTCCTTCCCCTCTGGCCCCCATCAATCAACAAGTCACCAAGTCCTGTCAGTAGACACGCAGTTCTGAGATCACTCATTAAGAAAAAGAAAAAAACAGGACTCTTCAGAACTTAGCTCTTGAATCCTCTTTCTCTACTTTCTACCTCCTTCCCATGTTCTCTAACCAGACCTCCAAATTCTACCTATCATGAACTTCTTTCAGTTTCTTGACTATCTTTATGTTATTTATTCTTCAAGCCTTTGCACAAGGTATTCTGTCAGCCTAGAAACCTCTCCCTCCATTCCCAATCCCACTGGACTTTATTCACTCCTAGGAATTCCTCCAGTAACTACTGCCTTTCAGACCACTTCAGTTCTCTAAGCCCACCCCTCCTCCCTCATTCTTAAAACTCAGAGCCCTCTGATCATGAATAAATGGGGTAGCTCTGCACATGACAGCCAGCCAAGCTTTATTTCCTCATAGTTATTCCTTCTTCAAGGACTTGCAAAACGTTGTGCGTACCCTACTTCAAAGGGTACAAGAATTCCCCAATGCAGAATAAAGTAGGCTCTTCGCAGTCCTGTCACCCAACTTGAATGCAGCAGATAATGTTTTTGAAACACTTTCCCCTTAGGCTTCTTAGAGAATACTCTCCCACGGTTCTCCTCTTACCTCCCTGAACAGATTCTTCTCTGTCCCAGCTCCTCTTCTGCTCACCCTTACATGTTGGCATTCCTCCAGGACGCCGTAGCTGGCCTTCTATTCCTATTTATATTTCCTTTGGGGCCAGCTCAACCATTTCTGCAACTTCGAGAACCATCTATACGCATCACTTCCAAATCTCTCACCTGTTCGCATTTTCCAGACCCTTAAAAATACTGCTTAGGGAAGATCCTTTGTAGACACCCCACAGGAATTTCAAATCGCAGGATCCACAAAGCATTCATTATTACTCTCCCCAAATTGCTCCCGGTCCCAAAAAGGACCACATCTGACCAAGAGCAAGACAGAACTTGAGAAAACTACTGCATAACTCTTACCCTCAGGCCACCTAAACTGTAGCCAGATCTTGTCAAATCTTCTTTCCACCACTTCCCACGGTCACTCCTAGGTTCAAACTCTGATAATCTCTCGTTGTTGTAAAAGTCGTCTTGCCTCCCATCTTGTACCCTTTCTAAATCCTCCATCATCCCTCACACTGCTGCGGGGGGTGGGGGGGTAAAATGGAAATGACATGTCATTCCCTGCTTGAAATGCATCCTGGTTGTGGGCAGGATAAAGCTGGAATTCCTCAGCACAGAAAACACGGATCCTCCGTAGCTGCCTACCTCCTGGGTATCATCTCTGTCCATGTCACTCACATCTTACGTTCTACCCATACTCAAATACCACACACTTCCTAAGGATGACCAACTGTTTAGGCAGTTCCTTCTGTCTACAGTGCTCTTCCCTGCAGATTTTGGTGAACTCCTGTACAAAGCCCTTTCTCACAGTTAGGGATGAAATTAACCCCTTCATCCTTTGTGCCCCTAAGGCATCCTGATATACATAGATCTTGTTATGGTAGGTAACCCATTTGATTTTATCGATCTTTCCTGATCTGGATTCAAAGAGCAATTCAGCTGCTTGTTACAGCAGAAACATGGATAAATTAACTTTCTGAGCTCGTCTCGTCGAAGAGATTAAGAGTTGTTATAAGGTGAGAATCAGAATATTGTGTAAATAAAGCATCTACTTCTACACCTGGCACATGATAGATGGGGGGGGGGTTAAAAAAAAAAAAAAAAAAAATTGTTATTATAAAATTTTTTTATCCCAACCCCACATGTGCAAACTTAAAAAAAAAAAAAAAAGACCGTGACCAAACAACAACAAAACTGTAAGATGCTAGAGAGATACACAGCATTTGTGTTAAGACGTATTTACTAAATCCTAAAATGATTACTACGATGATTAGTTGTCTGGAAACACAGAAAAGGAAGCGAGGGGGGGGGCTGGGATTGGGAGGGGTCAAGGAGGCTTATTTTCGTGTACACTTGCACCTCCATCCGCGACAGCCTTCACCATTTTGTCCACCTAGCAACCGCGGACTCCGCCACAGCATCACTGCTCCCCTGATTTAACTGTTGCTTCCTCGGAGTTCCCGGCGCCCGCACTTTTGTGAATTACAGATTAGGTCCCTCCCTCCGTAGGCCGTGACTCGCAGGCGGCAGAAATCTATTCCCCACCGCGTCCACCGCCCGCCGCAGGACGCCCTCCGAGAACGTTGGCTGAATGAATAAAAAGCCCGCAGCACACCGGACGCACACCGAACCACTCCAAGGCGGACGTCCATCCTCACGGTAACCCCGGCTTGAAGTCGTCGCCAGACCCCCAGCCAGGCGCACAGCCGCCTCCCGCCTCACCCCGCCGCGCAGCCTGCGCCCCCCGCCCGCCCGCCTCCCCGCCGCGGCGCGGCCTCCGGCCACTCACAAGAAGTTCTCCATCACGATGCGGACGATAGAGCCTTCCACGAAAGGCCTGGACGATTGCAGCGGCAGTGGCGCCGGCGGGGCCGAGCTCTTTCTCTTGCTCGGGACCTCCGACGAGGGATCTCTCGGAAGAGCTCTCTTGGAGGGCAAGGTGCTTGGGGTCGACGTCTTCCTACTCGAAGTCGCCATCCTGGCTTCCCCTCAGCCCCGGAGGCGCTTCCGTTCCCACCGACCTGCAGCCTCGGCGCCGCTGCGCCCGGCTCCCGCGCGAACTGCCCGGCGCGCGACACCGCCCGCGAACCCGCCCCGCGCCTGCGCAGTCCCGGCCCGGTGGCGTCAGCCGGCCGCCGGGCCCCGCCCCTCAGCCCAGCGCCTCGGAGGCTGAAGGCCACGGGAGCCCGTGGGGGGGTGAGGGGCGGGGGCAGAGCGCCGGGGCGCTGGCGCGAGCGGGCGGCGCCGAGACGGCCTCCGTGTGCGCGGCTCTGCGACCTTCCTCTCTGAGCGTTTGTGCATTTTTCAGAGTTGGGTGTTCTAAACTCAGAAAAAGATGCCAACTGCATTTAGTACTTTGGAAGCCCTTTCAGCGCTCCGGGGAAGCCGACCCGCGAGAGAACGGACGGAGGCAGGCGGTGGCACTCGGGGCGGCAGGCGGGCGACGACCGACCAGCCTTGTCCGGGCACCGATCGAGCAGACCCGGACTCGCCTGTCTTTGGCTTTTGCTCTTCTCAGTTTGCTCCCTCTTTTCCTTCAGGCAGGGCCCGGGGTCCGAAAAGGGAAGCTCCAGCAATGGCCCTGTGCCCGGGCCTCCCTTAAGAAGCGTCGTGCTGAGCCCCGCGTGCGCTTCCACTTGTGAGCGGACGGCACCGCGCCAACCTTGCCGGCAGAGACTCCACCCCTCGCTCCCTCCTTCCCTTTTAAGGCTTCCTGCCCCGAGGTTGCTAGAGATCCGCGAGCTAGAACGCACGGGCTTCGGCGAGCGCGTGCTTCCACTTACTCCTGCTCACCTGCAGCTGGTTAACCTCACGCAACAAGGAAGAGGGGCTCGGAGGCTTCGCAGCTCCTCGTTTACGCAGCTCATTAACGTCTGACCTCCAGGAGGCCGGGGCTGCGGCACAGAGGACCCCAGTGAAGGGTGCGTGTCGGAGCCCTTCCTTTCTGGTGTGGGAGACAGAAAAAGAACCCGTGAGGCCCCAAAGATCAGGGTGATCCCAGGCTGGGCTAGGTGATCTGAAAAAAATAAACAGAACAGGTGTACGGAGAGGCACAGACGGCATGTCAGAAGAGGTCGTGTTTGAGCTGAGCCCTACATGAGAAGGGAGCAAGTGCATGAATGAGAAAAGAGCGTTCGACGCAAGAACGGAAGCCCTGGAGTGGGAACTCGTGGGATGCTTGAGGAACAAAGGGAAGGCCACTGTGGCTGCCGTGGAGTGATCACCGTTGCATAGAAGAGCCTTGCCCATCATGGCAAAGCCGTTTATTTTTAAAGTGCTGGGAAGCCAGTGGATGGTTTTAAGCAGGACAGAGACATATCTGATTAAAAGTTTTTAAATAATCACTCTGGTTGCTGTTTGGAGTAGGTCAACGTGGAAGTGAGGAGGCCGTTTAGAAAACGGGTGCAGTAGAATCCTGAGTCCTGACACCTGCGACTAATGCTCCTTTCCCAGGTGCCGTCCACTTCCTCTCACACCAGTGGAATCTCTAAAGGTTGTTAGCAAAGAAAATAGAATGAGAAAAAAAGCATATGAATGCACTATGGTTACTAGAAATAAATAATAATAAGGTGCAAATTACAGAAGAATAATTTTAGAACTGGTCAAATCGTGCTTAGGAGGGTGCTATGCTGTTATTCCTTACAAAGACTGCAATAAGTTTTTTGGAAAGTAATTCGTTACTGCACTTCAAGAACCTTAGAAGAGTCGAAGTCTTTGAAGAAATGATTACATTTGGGGGAATCTATCCTAATGGAAAAATAACATAGGCAGAGTAATGGTAGTTGAGCACGGGAACCCGTTTTTGTACCATTATTGGTTCTTTGGTGAATTAATCAAATTGTGGTTATCAACCTGAAAGTTGAGAATGAGTCCCTGGACTTGTTATGACCGCACAAATGCACACAAGCTAAGAGTTCTTTTCTAAATAGCCAGCCAGTCATACTCTGTCACCACCTTTTATTTTATTTTATTTTGTTTTTTTATTATGTTCAATTAGCCAACATATAATACATCATTAGTTTTTGATGTAGTGTTAAGTGATTTATGAGTTGTATATAATACTCAGTGCTCATCGCCACACGTGTCCTCCTTAATACCTAACACCCGCTTACCCCATCCCTGCACCCCTCCCTTCTCTAATGCTCAGTTTGGTTCCCGGAGTCCAGAGTTTTCCATGGTTTATCTCCCTCATTGATTTCTTCCCCTTCAGTTTTCCCTCTCTTCCCCTACTGTCCTCTGTACTATTCTATATGTTCCACATATGAGTGAAACCATATGATAATTGTCTTTCTCTGACTGACTTATTTCACTCAGCATAATTCCCTCTAGTTCCATCCATGTTGAGGCAAATGGTGGGTGTTCATCCTTTCTGATGGCTGAGGAATATTCCATTGTAAGTATGGACCACATCTTCTTTATCCATTTCTCTGTTGAAGGGCATCTTGGCTCATTCCACAGTTTGGCTATTGTGGACATTGCCGCTATGAACATTGGGGTGCATATGCCCTTTTAGATCCCTAGGTCTGTATCTTTGGGGTAAATACCCAGTAGTGCAATTGCTGGGTCCTAGGGTAGCCCTATTTTTAACGTCTTTAGGAACCTCCATCCTGTTTTCCAGAGTGTCTATACCAGCTTGCATTCCCACCAACAGTATAGTAGGGTTCCCCTTCCAACAGCCTCACTGACATTTGTTGCTTCCTGTCTTGTTAATTTTTGTGATTCTAACTGGTGCCACCACCTTTTAAAAAGGAAAATACTATCACTTTTGCTTCTAATTACAAAACCAACACATAGTAAGTATAGAAACTTGGGGAACACTCAGAAAAACATACACAGAGGGAAAAGTTACTCCTAATTCCCCTACCCAGACTAATCACTGTTAGGTTTTGGGTGTATGTTTTATCTTTTTTCCTTCTGTGTATATGATATGCTCCTTTCGTTGCCCCCCACGCCCCCCCAAAAAAATCTAGGATGATGCTGCACAAATTCTCTCTCTCTCTCTCTCTCTATATATATATATCTCCCATTATTTAACCCTCTTTTTCTCACATAATATGAATGTATTTCCATGCCATTAAACATTTTTCCATGACCTAGTTTTAAGTGACCATATAGTATTCCATCAAGCAGACCGTATAATTGATGTAAATATTTCTTTTTGGGGGGGGGCTCTGTGTGACTGGGTATTAGCATGAACCAAGGATCCTCTGTCTGACTATAAGAAGCTCAGTGCTCCTTATTCTTTAATAATTTCATGCACCCATAAACATCTATACATATATCTTGCCACACCTAGTTTCTTTAATTTCACTGGTGAAAACTGTCTCAAAACAAGTGAGAGTAGGGAGGCAGAGGGAGATGGTCTCAGGAAACAATATCAATTAACAGGAAGCTGCTGCTCATGAATGAGTGAGTGAGCCACACAGTTGAATTTATACTTCCAGGATTTGAAGTCCACTCATCAGCTGAGTTCACATGCCATTTTTGCTGGCTAATGGATCTACTGTATTTAACCTTCTACTCACCAAGGAGTAAGTCACCAGGGGCTACGTTGAGTGAAGGCCTTACAATGCTCCAGAAACTTAAAAACTGCTGCAAACAAAAAGTTGGCAGAAAGGGGAAGGGTCAAGAATTATAAATATATTTCAACCCACCCTTAGAATACTATCTTCTGGGTTGTCATTCTTGGCCTTACTGCACACGCCCTTGATAATGGTGCTAAAGGAGCAAGAAGGTGGGGCACGATACCCAGATCAGACGCTGCGGAGGCCACCATCAACTAAGATGGTTCACTCTTCTGGTTCTGATAAGAACAAGGGAAAGGAAATCCTACTTTGGCTTTTGGCAAATTCTTAAAGTGGAAAAGTGAGCCCTTGTCCCTTGGAAAGGAAGGAAAAAGTCTAGGCTGAAACTGAAGTCCTTGGCACCCCGAAACAACCCTTTTTCCCTGGTGCCCTCGCCCACACTTTCTAATTACCCTTGTTAAAGAACAGTTGGGGAGGGGTACCTAGGTAGCTCAGTTGGTTAAGGATCTGACTCTTGGTTTCAGCTGAAGCATTTTCTCAGCGTCCTGAGAACAAGCCCCAGGCCTGGCTCTGCACTTAGCGGGAGTTTCCTTGAGATTCTCTCCCTTTCCCTTCCCTCTACCCCTCCCCTCCCCCCACTCACATATGTGTGCTCTCTCTCTCTCTCTCTCTCTCTAAAATAAATAAATGAAATTTTAAGAAAAAGAAAAAGAATGAACAGTTGGGGAAGATGTAGGGAGGGATGACAGGTTCTGAGGAGAGTGAACACGCTTCCCAGAGGGAAACTAACACCCCATACAGCAAGCTTCTGCTAGAAATAAGGATACTTTATCTTTAAAGTTTTTACTTTAAAAAAAATTTTGTTTCTAACATCATAGAAAAGCTTTATATTTAAAAAAGATTTTATTTATTTGAGAGAGTGAGCGAGAGAGAGAGTGCAAGCAGGGGGAGCAGCAGAGGGAGAGGGAAAAGGAGGCTCCTCTCAATGCAGAACTTGACCCAGGACCCTGGGATCATGACCTGAGCCAAGGGCAGACACTTAACTGACTGAGCCACCCAGGTGCCCCCCCAAAAGCTTTAAATAATGAAAATATCTGCTTCTTCTTACCGTGGTGGCAGTACACTTGGAATTGGTTCTAGTAATAGCTACCGTATTAGTAGTAATAGTTGATACTAACAGAATGTACCATATACCAGCTACTGCTCTAAGTACTTTTTCATAATTCATGTTTATATTCTGGATCAATGTCTCAACAGATTTGCATCTTTCTCAAATTTCTATCTCTTGGATATAAAAACCAACTGAAAGATTGAAAAAATATTAGGAATTAACATGAGGTTTCAAAATGTTCTCTGTAATGTGTCATGATAGAAAGTCTATGGCTAAATGTGCCTTCATTTCGTTTGAGGATATGAAACGGGAAAACAGATATTACATTGCTCCAGAAGGAATTTACCTTCCATTTCAGGAAGATCAGGAACAAGGTGCTAAAGCACCAGGAGCAGTCCTCTCTGCCAGTCCTCGCCAAGTGAACAGATAGTCCTCT